AAGAGAGAGATATTCAGGGCCAGAAATCTCGAACGCGGTACGAGAACTAGCTAAGGTTTGGGATGCAGCAACGCCAGCAGCATACAAGGAAATGCTACGTTGTGTAAGTTTGTGTTGGACTCAAGAACCGTGGACTTTTGATGAGACAGAGAAGAACGCAAGGACACGTGGAAGTTGGAAGTGTTCTCGGATTCGGATTGGGCCGGAGACAAGAACAACAGAAGATCAGTCACGTCCATGATGATTTTTCTCGAAGGTGTACTCATTCACTGGAGGTCCAAGCTACAGAAGGTTGTGGCATTGTCGAGTTCCGAAGCTGAGTTCTACGCGTGTGGCGAAGCAGCACGAGAAGTTCCGTTCATCGCGCAGATTCTGAAGTTCCTACAGATCAACGTGGAACTACCTGTGCAAGTGAAGATCGATAACGTGGGTGCTATCTTTATGTCAGAGAACAAGACAAGTGCGAGTCGAACAAGGTACATAGATACAAGGTGGCACTACGTGAACCAAATGCAGCAGGACGGCCTAGTGAAGATTGATTTTGTTCGCTCGGAAGACAACGTGAGCGACATTGGGACCAAGAATGTCAACGTCGAGACCCTCGACAGACATGCACCAAGATTGACCGGAGACAAGGAGCAATTGGTTTGAGTTGGTGAGAAGGTCGCTGCCATCATCGCGAAAACAGGAAGGGTGTTAGAAAGGTATTTTCGTATGACGGACAGACGACTAGGGATCCACAGTCACGGTTCGTGATTGGGGATATGTGACTCAGATTCAGATGGTGATCCGATCATCATCAGATGGCCAGGTGTACGAGGAACGAGGACAATGGTCATCTAGATGATGCAACTACAAAGGATAGGAAGTTAGGTCGAAGAGATGAATGCAAGGAGCAATGGGACGGAGCAAATGAATGGACGGATGAAGGTCCACAGGTTTCGTAAAGTGGGAAAGCCCTCCAGGGCCAACCATGCACTTCAGGACATCGATCTATCTGCAGATGAAACTGCGAGAAACAGAGGATCGAAAGATCCTGGTACATGTATGCATATTGGAGCTCAGTTGTAGAGCTCACAATCTGAACGAGAGAGAAAGAGAAAACGAAACGAATCGCCAGTCTACTGGACAGTAGAGCTGGAAGGATATTGATTAAATTAGAGAAATTGTGGGTTCAAGTTCACACCTTTTCAACAGACATAATTCTAACCCAGCCAACTCCGTGGTTGGCGATACATGCATGTCAAAAAGCTCAGTCGAAGCATTGGTTGTCTCGGAATCAGAAGATTTGCTGGGGTTCATGTCCATACCCCCTATCGAAGCGTGGTACGGAAACATGGTTGGATACATGTAGATTTCAGGAAAGGGGAAAACGAATTTGGGAGATTGATCGTCTTCTTCTGCTTCTTGCTGCGTTGTTGCTTCTTGCATCTGGGACGCAGAAAAACCGAAGTGGGCAGTAGCCACGACGACAACGATGTCTAAAGTTTGGGTTTCTCTATAATAAAAACGAAAAGGATCCCAGATGGTAAGAAAGTACTACAGCAAGACAAGCTAGCCAAGAAGGTTGGCGGTTTGCTCGATCGCCAGAACACCATCCAGCAGGTCTATCGTGGTCTTGAGAGGTTGAGAGAACGGCAAAAAGTATGGGAACTGGAACTGAAGGAAGGAAGCATCGTTGACAAAAAGAGTGTGCCTGTAATTGGGATATTTGGCAAGTCGGAAACAGGCAAAACCGAGCTCCTACGCTGGGTTTTCAATAACTGTTGCACTTTCCAAGAAGCCCCGGCGGATGCAAAGACTTTGGTGCAACGGCTTAACCAGGCTCTGCCAGATGGTGTAGCAGCGTTCCAAAATCTCCTAGTGTTGTTTGCATCCTTCAATCAGACCTCGCCTTACCTGACGGACGAAGGTCCTATCATCGAGACAACAACGGAACGACTGCTGCGCTCATTCCATGGAAATGTGATGTTTGGCTCGGACAAAATCAGATACGAGGGTTTGGTCACTGGAACGATATCACTGAGAAGTTCTGTCCAAAGTGAAAGACAAGAACGAATTGGCGTATCAAGACCTTATGGATTCCATTTTCGGATTTTTCCAAGAATGCCTCCAAGACGGAATATTCTGTGCCGTGGTTGGAAGTTCACTCTCTGTATACGACCTTGGCAACGTGGTGGTTACACGTTCCGGACGACCTATTGCACCTGTTAGTTTTCCCAAGGAGATTCCGGAAATTGAGGAAAAAGCAAGGAAGATCTTGCATGATGAAACTGGCATATTTGCAGGCTTTGAGGGACACCGTGATCACGTCGAGTTCAACTTGTTGGTATCAATGAAGGTTACTCAGAGTTCATCGAGTGTGAAATCCTGGGAGCCGTACGTCTTTGGCTCCCCCACAAGAGGTACAATTGCGCCCCCCAACATGCACTACAGAATGCCCAAAACGACGGATGCCGATTACGTGTTTTTGTTGGTTTCGCGGATAGTGCTGAAGAGAGAGATTGCAGAAAACCTGCAAGAGACTGATGTAAGAGCCATAGTTGACCACCTTTCTGGCAACTTGGTTGTAGAGACCAACGAAGAAGGTCTTGTTACCGATTGGGACAACCCAAGAGGCACTCTTTCTCTTCCTGGCTGGCGTCTTCTCGAATTTGGTGTCACGAAACTCAGTCCGCAGCTGTTCCAACTAGTCCAGAATTGGGTACTGGTGGAAACGAGGAATATGTTCTACATTTATGGAGCGGATGCAACAACAACAACATGGGAGGTAACAATTATGGCGCTGTTGGAGCTGCGGAAAGCAATGCTTCAGGCTGTCAACGGTGCAGAACCATCCCTCGGTGACTTGATTGAAGGTGTCCGTGTTCATCACAACCTCTCTCAAGAATTGCTAGACATGAAGGCTTCGCCACACCCGGCTGCTGGCCATTGCTGTCGTTTGCCGTATCCGGCAGCAAGTTATCAGAAGACCAACAATTTTTTTGTCGAGTGTAAGCAACGAAAAAGCTGTGGAGGGTGTCCTCCGAGGATGTTTCAAGGATGCGACAATTTTCTTCCAAATGAAGTTGTACCGAAAAGTTGGTGCTTCGCAGATTTTGTCCTGGCTGAATATAGCCCACGAAAGGGCTCGCAAGCTCGGGTATAAGCAGGGAAAAAGTATTGTTCAACTCTTTGTCACTGGTGTCATTGACAACAATGTGGAAGATGCTATTGATGAATGGCCAGCCAACAGCATGGTCTTTTCAGACAACGCACTGACTGATCTCTTTGAGCCATTTGGTGAGGGTTGCATTAAAGAGATTGTCCGGAGGATCAAACGAGATGAGTAGTCATGCTTGCTGTATTGATTGAAATCATCCCACACCAAAAAACCCTAAAGGTGTGTATAGTATGGTTGCCATGGCTTAGAGGGGGGGGTGTACCAGGGGAGAGAGCAGAATGCACAAACGCGGGCCGAGCAATCGATGGAGTGAGCAGAGCAGCTGCAAAAGCCAAAGAGGGAGGGAAGGCATGGTGGGGGGCAAGAAGGATCAAGGGGGGAAGACTAGTGGAAGAGATCGAGGGCACCACAGTCATCCCAGCGCCAGGAAAGCTTTTTAGCTGGAATACGGGAGCCTCGTAAGCACATTGTAGCTGCCCGGCAGAGCAGAGATGAAAGAACGGACCACGGAGTAGGGCTTGGACCACTTGCGAGCCAAAAGCTGGGAAAGCCGTTGTAGAACGGCAGTTGCTTCAGCAGCAAAGAGGCCATCAGCAGAAACAACAAAGGGGGTGAAGTGTCGGCGTTGTGCATTGCATTTGGCCTGGTACTAGCTAGTTAAGAATGCTAGGAAGACACCAAGCAACTTTGGACCGTACCCAGGAAATGAAGATGAGACGGTCAAGTTGCAACTCGAGGTTTGAGGACAATACCAGCTTGTGTAGTAGTTACAATTACAACTAATACACACGACATGGTTGTGACAACAACACTTTTGTGTAACGGAGAAGTTTCAACAGTTACTTGAATGTCTAGGATGCACGTTCTAATCGAAGGATACATGGGGTGCCGGTACATGAAAACAGGATACCGAGCACCAACAGAGGCCACGTAGTCACAAGCGCAAAACCTGGTGTATTGTCCGCGCTCCATTTCGTCGAGAAGAACGAGTTGTTAAGCGACAGCAATACTGCGCCGCCCCACCAAACCACAACATAGAGACCCAAATACTGTTGCTTCGGCAGTGTGTACAGCCCAACGACACAATGGAAGCTATTGATCTTACAGGAATAATCCAGTTGAATGGACCAAGGGTTGCCTCCATTTCTTCACAGCATGAGCAGCATGGGGTGTCAAGCATCAAGCAGGTTACAATACTTCGATAACGGATCGACGATTTTGCTCGATTTGATCGAAACAGACGTTCGGAAAAAGTAACACGGCACCCTACCGCTAACGCTACGGTGTGAGGAAAGACCGCACCGACCTTGCGTTGCAGTTCCAAGTGTTTTGCTGGTGGTCGGCATCGTTCTCAAATCAACACATTATGAAGGGGTTAGACCACGAAAACGCACTCAAGTCGAGCTCATGCTCAGTCTCCGCCAACTTTGCTTTGGGTTGCCTACGGCTGAACCGTTGGCTCCAATGCTTCCTTCTTACTGCACCCAGCCAAGATCCTTCATAGCTTCTGCTACCTTGAGGAATCCGGCCCGGTTAGCACCTTCTTCCAGGGTCCCATCCTTTCCAGAAGAATTCTCCATTTGTTTGTATATATTAGCCATCATGTCCTTGAGCTTGCTGTCCACTTCTTCTCGCGTCCAAGTCAGTCGTTGCGAATTTTGGCTCATTTCAAGTCCTGAAACGCCCACACCTCCAGCGTTACTGGCCTTACCAGGGACGTAGATCACATCTCCCTTGTCACGAATCACTTTCTGAGCCTCCATGTTGGTTGGCAAGTTGGCGCCCTATTGCAGAGACGAAAGAAAGCACCGGTGAGAAACACAGCATCCACTTCCAAATCCAACTGCCACAGCAAACTCCTGTCTTACCTCGAGGACGCCTAGCACTCCATTCTTCACAAGACGTCTGGCTGCGTCTCCGTCAATTTCATTTTGAGTAGCACAGGGGAGAGCCAAGTCATATTTCATGTCCAAGGACCACGGGGACTCCCCGTCAACGTAGCGTCCGCTAACCTTTCCATCCAGGGAACGAAGGCGGTCACGTTGAACATTCTTGCACTCCATCACCGCATGCAGGTCATCTTGGGTCATCCCATCGTCAAAGACAAGGACGCCATTGGAGTCGCTAACGGTGATGACCTTGGCACCATACCCAAGCAACTTCTCCGATGCAAACTGAGCCACATTGCCGCTGCCAGAGACTGCACAGCGCATAGCTTCAAGAGTGCGGCCAAGTCTCTTCTCAACTGCAAGTTTTGTCATGTAAACTAGGCCATAGCCTGTTGCTTCTGGGCGAAGTGGACTCCCACCCCAGTTCAGCCCTTGGACAATGAGTGCCATTAGAGTGAGTCATTAAATTGTGGAGTCCTCGGAAACGATCCCAAGCACCTTACGTACCTTTTCCTGTGAGGACACCCTCTCCATGCTTGTTGGTAAGCCTCTGAGTAAAGAGACAACAACACGTTTGGTGTGGGGCCAGCCACAGTCAGTTTTACAAAGGATTGATTCGATTCACACCGTGCACACTAAAATGGACTGACCTTGTACTGGCCGTAGAGATATCCAATTTCGCGACCGCCAACACCAATGTCTCCAGCAGGCACGTCCGTAGAAGGATGCAAATACCGGAATAATTCAGTCATAAAGGACACACAGAACCGACGGACTTCTCCTTCACTCTTGCCCTTGGGATTGAAGTCACTTCCTCCTTTGCCACCTCCCATTGGTAGTCCTGTCAACGCATTTTTGAAAATCTGTTCAAAGCCCAGGAACTTGAGTACTCCTGAATCAACCGTGGGGTGGAGCCGCAGCCCACCTGGATGAAAACAAATGGAAACAGCATTGAAAACACATACATGCATTGAGTTAGCAAGAGTGGAAACGAACAAACTTCAAATATATGCGTTCTACCGCTTGCCGTCTCACATACCTTTGTAGGGTCCCAGGACACTGTTAAACTCGACCCTCCATCCACGGTTGAACTGGATGTTGCCATTGTCATCCTCCCAGGGAACACGAAAGCTGATGACACGCTCTGGTTCCGTCATGGCCACGAACGCCCGTTTGTAGAAGGCTCCATTCTTTTCGTCTTCAAAAAGAGGGAGCAGTGCCATGGCCATTTCTTCCACGGCCTGGAGAAAAGTTGGTTCATGCGAATATTTTTCGCGCAAAGGTTGGAGAAAGTCCAGGTTGCTCATTGTGTTGCACTCTTGCAAGTTTGGTGCTGCTTTTGGGATTCCTTTTGTGTTTGATACTGCTATTGATTGATTTAATAATGAGAGCAGCAGTATCAGAAACACGAGATTGTGCAGAAGTCTACATCCATACAAAGATGCAGGAGAACAGTTGGCAGATCGTAGTTGCATGATGGTATCTCTGCGCTTCGCATCTGCGAATAGAGATTTGAATAGAAAATCTAGCTAGCTAATCCGAGCTGATTGTTAAGTTCGATTCGATTCTGAGTGTCAATGATGGCAATTGCAATGATGGTTTGTGTTCGCAAGTAAGTCTTCTTCTAGCTCTGGCCATTTATAGGCTGCTTGTAACGTTTCGCGTCAATCGAAATTTAAGCCAGCGGAGCTGTGTAACCTCGGCAGAAAGGTTTCAGTGTAGAAGCAGATAACCCCATTAGCTAGCTAGCTAGAAGCAGATACCTCTAGCGCTTAACTTGCGCTTAGCTAGCTAGAAGCAGATCCCCCCTAGCTAGAAGCAGATTCCCATAGCAAGCTAGAAGCAGATACCCCTAGCTAGCTAGAATCCTAGTTATATAGCGTTCACTGGCTTTAGAGTTTTTCCTGGTAGAAGCAGATCCCCCTACTAGGATGCATGTAAATAGCTTTAGCTGGTTTTTTAAAGCACCATCCTAGCTCTAGGTTACTTATTTAGTTTTTGCTAACTTATTTGTATTCTAACCCTACCCTTATACCTGCAGGGACCGCCGTAGCAGGAAAAACAATTAAAGGGGTTGAGGGCTCTGGCAGCAAGACTGCCGAGGTTTATCAATTGCAGCAAAAAGTGAGTATTCTAAATATAATTTACTGGGATTGACAGAGACAATCGAAACGAAGAAGATCCAAACAAAAAACAATCATGAGATGTCCGCGACTGGACAAGGTCACTCCACTCGTCACTCGACTCGCCACGACTCGGTACCAGTAGAGCACCCGTAGATATGCTTCGATTGATCATTCGATTCCCGCCCAACCCAGCATTGGACCTTCACTGAAGCTCTGGCTCTGTTTGGCGCTCTAATAATTGACGCCCTTCGTTTCATTGAAGTCATTGCAAGTTTGGGAGCATGCTCAAACGCAGTGTTTCAACTCGGATTTGTCATGGAGTGTTGTTCAAAGACTTTTGAGAAAGAAGGAGGAGGAATGGGGCCAGTCTGCCTAAAACGAGTAAATTTACTTACTAATAGTTCAGTCACTTTTGCTGCTAGAATCGTATGAGTCTAAAAAGAGCGATATGAATCGATTCAATCATCCATTTCCGTCCAGATGCAATGCACACTACATTGTCAGCTGCTGCTAATCACTCCAGTTTAGTTCCAGCTCAGGGGATTCCGAGAGCAGTCTGGCTTCACTCAGCCTCCCGTAGGAGCTCAAGTGGTAGCTACTAGAAGACTGCGTCGTTGTGTCATATGGACATACTAGTAGTAACATGGGCTATTACGGTACCGGTATATGTGAAAACTACACGCCTTGAAGCAGCCCAAAGAGTTTTTGTCGTCGTCAGAACGCTGACGGAAAGAGTTCAAGCATAAGTCAAATAGGTTGTTTGTACGGTACGTCATAATCAAGTTCAGCTACAACAATTGAGGCGCACGCACTTTCGGCTCTGCTGGGAACCTGCTTTCTTTCAAAGGGCGAAGTTACAACTGTTTCTGTAACAGCCGGCACAAACGCTTTAAAATTTCTAGCTACGGTAGCTAGGTAGCTGCTTGCTTGAAGAGGGAAGCTTCTAGGTGCTGTGGGTACTGGTGCTTCTAGAAGATCGTTTTGTAATTACCAGCAGATCCCAGATGATGCTTCGAAGATTTGGAAGATCACAGCTATCCCTGCAACAAGTATCCAAACCAAAGTTGTTGAGGATCGAGGGACTGTGCGATGTTACAGTACTTACCAGTACCAGCTTACCGGCTGGAGAAGTTTATCTGGTGTAGCCCCCACGCTCGAATGACGCGATGAGACTTAATTTACCACAAAGATACTCGTTTCGTAATTAGCGATATACACCAGTATTCACTTAACGCAAGTCACACAAGGTGTTTCACCGGCTTCGACGTGAGAGCCGACACGCCATGGCCAACAGCATTCTCGCAGTACTAATACTGGTCCATGCAAGTTCTTCCGGCTGCTCGCCATCGTAGCAAACTCTGGCAGTCCAGCGGCGTTTGTGGTTTGTGAGCTCACAATTTTCTTCTTCCTCTGGCACAACAGCTCAGCAAGCAGCTTGGCAGCGCAAATCATTCTCATTGAATATTCTTGTCAATCGCTCCTCATGAAGCTTTTCGTTCCTCTCTTTGGCCTTGCATTGGCACTTCCCTCATCATGGGCGAACACTGGTTCGCACAGTCTCCGTGGGGCCTATGACTTTGAACGACAACTCGCCATTGCTTATGATGCATGCAATGATGGGGCATTTGATTCCGGGTGTGCAGAAAGCACCAAATGTTCAACTACTGACCTCCCAGCAAATGTTGTTGAATTCTGGGATGTCAAGGGTAACGTGAACTGTCTGCAGCTAGGATTCGATTTTGGGTGGAAGACCGGGGATCCTGGCTGTTTTGATGAAACAGACCAGGCATTTGCACCCAATGGTGCCAATCTTGGTGCTACCAGTGTCCGATCATGCCCCAACTGGGATTGCTCACTTCCTGCAAGTGCCACATATTCGGTTGACTGCAAGAATGCTGAAGGAGCGCAGTTCACAGATGCCACGATCTCAGCCAACCTAGATATGTATGTTATCGTCAAGGCTCAGGGACTCTACCTGTACAAGTATGAAGAGGGAACCAGCCTTGATGTCATAACCCCTGGAGGCAAAGGTATGTACCATGTATACAAACTACAACAAGGGGAAAAGAAAAACAGAAAAGAAAGGGAAGATGAGGGCCCCAAGTTTCTGACTTTTGGAATGCTACCCTTTTTGGACTCCTCAACCATTTTTCACACTTCCTTTTTTGTCTCATTTCAGCGATAAGTCATATCGAGTTTTGTTTTCTGTGTCCGAAAGAGTCAGAAAGCCCATCTGCCAGTCCTACGGCTGCTCCTACTCCTAACCCAACTCCTAACCCCACAACCAGCCCGAGTGCCAGTCCAAGCAAATCACCAACTCCGAGTCCCAGTGCATCGCCTTCCGCCAGTCCAAGCAAAGCACCAACTCCGAGTCCCAGTGCATCACCTACCGCCAGTCCAAGCAAAGCACCGACTCCCAGCCCAAGTGCAACCCCCAGTTCCAGCCCAAGCAAAGCACCAACTCCCAGCCCAAGTGCCACCCCTAGTTCCAGTCCGAGTTCCAGCCGAGTTCAGCCCGAGTTCCAGCCGAGTTCCAGTCCAAGTGCATCACCCTCTGCCAGTCCAAGCAAAGCCCAACTCCGAGTCCAGTCATCACCTCTGCCAGTCCAAGCAGCACGACCCCAGCCAAGTGCAACCCCCAGTTCCAGCCCAAGCAAAGCACCAACTCCCAGCCCAAGTGCCACCCCAGTTCCAGTCCGAGTTCCAGCCCGAGTTCCAGCCCGAGTTCCGCCGAGTTCAGCCCAGTTCCGCCGAGTTCTAGCCCGAGTTCCAGTCCAAGTGCATCACCCTCCGCCAGTCCAACCAAGTTTCCCACCCCACTTCCCACTCACAGCCCCACAAAGAAGCCCACCCCAAGCCCTACTGAGCCACCCACCCCAAGTCCAACCAGCAGTCCTACACAGCACCTACAAAGCACCAACCAAAGCCCTACCAAAGCCCCAAGCACCACCAAGGCACCTACCAAAGCCCCAACCAAAGCTCCAACAAAGTCGCCCACTCCCAGCCCCACTGAGCCACCCACTGAGCCACCCACCGAGCCACCCACCGAGCCACCCACTCCGATCCCCACAAAGACACCAACCACAGTGCCCCCAAGTCCAGCCCCAACCGGAAGCTGCATTGAGCAGACCTTGCCCCCAAGTACTCCTAACTTCCCCTATGTTGAAGATGGCAATCCCAACTGTCAGGACTTGGGCTATGACTATGGATGGAAGATGGAAGGCTGCTCCTCCATTGATGATCAACCATGGTCTTCTCTTACGAAGACCAAGGGAACAAATTGTGCGAAAGAACCAAAGGGTGATGTTACCATTTCTTGTTCTAAAGAATCAGAACCTGTCACTGCAACAATTACTTGCCATGATCAAGAGTGTGTTATCTTCATGAAGGGTAGCAATGGAGGTACGGTCTACAAGATTGGCAAAGGAGACAGTGTAGCTCTGGATGTTGGCCTTCAGAATGGTAAGGGCAATACTTATGCAATCAGTCACATCGAGTTTTGCTTCATGTGCTGTGTGGAGTAACAAAGAGGACGACCCAATGAAATCTCCACATGTGCCAAGAAGAGGCTCCGAAAATACATGTACGTGTTGATGGATTTTGACGAATTGACGGAGACGGAAGTTTAGAAACCCAGAATCTTGAAATTGGTTGCTCCAGGAAGTTGGCGACTGTAGTAGCAATAGATAACAAGAGATACTTAGTAACTACAATAATTCATTGCAATAGCTGGCTGGCTGGCTAGCTAGCTGCTGCTGAGGGGTCGTAAACTGACTACCGGTACCGTAGTACATGTATCACCAGTTGCATAAAAACGTCTCACTCTCAAGGAGACGAACATGAATTCCCTTGACGCCCTGTTTTTCAGAGATACATGTATGTACCAACATGCTTTCGCCTAGCTAGATAGCTATTAATATAAGAAAAGACGAGTGGCTAAAGCAATAACGAATGGAGCTCGGAACTTCAGCCTGCGATTCGCTCCATTCGTTTGGATTGAGTGGTGTCTACTGTATGGTTAGGTTGTTAGGTAGGTAGTTATCCGGAGAAGAATGCATAGTATGCCAGTCCACAAAATGTGGCAATGGCATAGCCAATGTTCCCGACCAGGAGACTGGGTACCTCCAAGGATTCCCATCCCTGCGCTTGCGCCAGTGCTACTGCAGTGGCGGGTCCCCCAATGGCCGCAGAAGACGCCACCAAGAGGCGCTGTGGCAGAAAGGAAGCACGACGGGGAAACAATTTGTGAAGGAGCCATAGTATCGCTCCATGAAGACTGTACAAGAGTGTCAAGAACAGACTGAGTGGAATGAGCGATGCTCGTACCGACTCGGCCACGGCAATTCCCGGGGCTCCGGCCGTGGCAAAAAAGAGGTAGAGACACGTCGTTCCGAGCACATGCGCTGGTTCCTGTACGGGTTTCATAACGTTGGCAGGAGCCAAGGAAGCCACCAACACGGTAAGTATGGTACAGCAAGGAAGAGCTCCACTTTTACCACCCACTTTTTCTCCCATCCACAGCAACAAGGACGACAAGAAGAGAGCTGTGGATACTCCTTGAATGGAAAAACTGTCATTCGATGATGATGATGGATTGTCGTCTTTCGGCAATTGTCGTTGTCGTGACGATGTCAAGACGGATACATCGGCCCGTCCTGCCCCCAGCGCCGACGTGACGGGAAAGTAGAGCAGCGCAAAAATATTGTCGACACACAAACCTGCCGCAATGGCGACTGGACTGGCATTCAACGATCGACAGACGGCGACATAGTTGATTCCTCCCCCAATATTCTTGGCCATTAATGCGGCGGCAATGGCCAATCCATCTCGTGGGCCCAGTGCAGATTGTAATAGACAGCCTGTGAGACGCCATCCCACCAGACAAGCTATAAGCGTGGCCATGGCCGCTACCATGAAGGAGAGTAAGAGTGGTCCACAGCGTGCGACACAATCGCGCAAATCGGCTCCCAGTAGTATCAAGGGTGTCGCGAGTTGGAGGGACAAGAGTTGCAAGGCTGTCGCGGCAGGGGTTCCACCGGGATGAAGAATTCCAATGGATGCCAATCCAAATGTCAATGCCATGGCCGTCACGGGTGGTCCCAATAGCTTGCCGATCCGCGTGGTCTTGCCTAGTACTTGGGAAATGGTGGCAGTTCCCGTCAGTACGGCCCAGTTGCCCCAGGCATCCGTGGGACTGATCCCCCAGGATGGTTGGAATAGTAAGGAAAGAGATGTCGTGGAAGTAGATGGACCTGTCAATTTGCTCTTTTGATTATGATACTTGCAAGCGGATGATATGGGATGGTTCTCTCCCCGAGCATTAAACTGGACATGCTGTGATGATAGAAGTGTTGGCTTTTGAGGAGGTATTCTGTTGGCAACTGATTGGAAGGCATGGCTGAAAAAGATTCGGTCAGAAGCCAAAACGAGAAAGAATGTCAGAAGGAGCTGTCGATGTCTCATGCTGCCCTTTTCACGCGAAGTTCACTCTGTTGTGAATGATTCAATAATATCTGAACAACATGCATGGATGTTAGATACTCCTATCTCCTATGTTTGATGAGATACTGTAGGGGATGAGGCTGAGGGGCTGCAGTTTCGCAAGGAAATGGATTGGCGGCAGGTTTCTGATGTTTGTGGTTTGTGGCGCTGACACCGTCTTCGAAAGTGTTCTGAATGTCGCACACGAGGCCCTTGAGACTCGACTCATTATCCAACAACCAACCAGAGAAGCAAGCGGCCAAAAAAGCAAAAAGCCGACGGCAATGGTCCAAAAGAGATCAGCCTTTCTGTCTTTGGGCCCTACTACTACTACTACTACTACTACTACTACTACTACTACTACTACTACTAGTAGAAGCAATACGCACTTGTTGCCAGCTGGGATTGATCAGAGGCGACGACGACGACGATTTTCTGTCCTCCAAGAGTTTAGTGTTCCGTCGATTGGGATTCCAATAATAGCTACTGCTGTGTCGCCCACCACGGACAATCTCATGACCATCAACAGCAGCAGTACAGCATCGACGATTCTCGCAGGCTTGTCGGTGGTTCTATCGTTCGCTTCGTTGATGCTCAGTTATAGAACATGGCAAAGACAGTCCAGTTACCTACTGGAAGACCAGAAACCGACGGCAGATCTTGACAATGATGATCCAGCGAGTTTGTCGCCAGCAAGAACTCCATCAACCTCCATCAACACCACAACATCTACTAATAAGGCATCCTCCGCCCACGACAATAATACTCGCATTCGCGCCACGGTCGAGAATCAACTCCTGTCTCACAACAACAACAATGGTTTGAATGTCCAACCCATTGGTGTCATTCGCTCCGTGTACAAACTCTGCGTGGGAACGCCTCGACAAGGACTACTGGCACCGCATGCCCGCGGACGCATCGAACTCACGTTGCCCGTCGATGCGGCTATGGATTCCGTACAAGAGCTCGATACATTCTCGCACATTTGGATTCTATTTGTCTTTCATCTCAATACACTCGCCAGTAGTAAAAAAGTGTCGCCGAAAATTGCGCCTCCCGCATTGGGCGGTAAAAAAGTAGGTGTCTTGGCGACACGAAGTCCGCATCGATTCAATCCCATTGGCATGACACTGGCCAAACTGGATCGCGTCGAAATCAAGGACAAGAAGGCATTCAAAAGTCAACAACAACTTGGCAGCAATACTAGTCGCGTCGTATTGCACATTTCCGGACTCGATTTGGTCGATGGGACTCCCGTGTTGGATGTCAAACCATTTGTACCCGTCTACGATTCGGTACAATCATCATCAGACAATAGTGCCGTTCGACTGCCACCATGGGTCTCGGAGGGATTGGCCACACGACGAAGTGTCGTCATTCTTGAAAAGGCCAAACAGGACTTACAAAACATTCTCTTGTCGTCATCAAACAAGAAAAAGAAACCCTTGGAGTTTTATGGACGAGGAGACGACGAATCCGACCAGGACACACTCGACAATATGCTGGCATGTATCACCGAAGTGCTGGCCATGGATGTTCGAAGTTCGTGGCAAACACAAAAGGCACGCAAGGGAAATTATCAAGCCGAGAGGGCGCATCGGTTGAAAAAGAAGAATAACCATGCATCATCCTCCAACAAACCAGTACAGTCCTCCTCCTCATCATCAGACGTACAAAGTAATAGTACTAGTGAGAAGAAGAAGAATGCCGACAAAATTGATACATGCACGCAGCAATTGGACAATCTGCTATTGCATTACAGAGTGACACAAGCATCGGATCTACGGAGGTCTACGTCAGAAGGGAGTGGTGCAGAAGATCAGGTTTGTGTAACTGCCATAGAGCATTTGCTGTCATAGTTGTGATACGGTAGCACTTGGCTGGGGGCTTTTGCTATTTTTGGCCGGGTTCAGGACTGGTAGCTTTATTTTAAAATTGCACCAAGTGGTTGCTCAAACCTCCAATGGATGGATCACAAAGAGCTAGCAAGTTTCGACAGCACGCAGCATTGATCGTAGCTTGCAGTATGTAGTTACGACATGTACTTGCTTGGGGAGAGGCGAGGACAGTCTGGTGAAACTACATGTATCTATCTATCTATCTATCTGTGAAACCTAGACCCAGCCCAGTTTTCCCTCTAGAGGCGCGACTATGGGAGGGCACATCTCTCCATCCACCAATTGTTCCCAAAGGAGCGAAGCCGAATGTTGTCAGACTTCTTCCAGGATATCTTGAGCATTCAAGAACATGCTCCTTCCATCCTCGGACATCAAAGCCATAATACAACGGACGAAATTGTTGTCTTTGGAACCTCGCCTGTTTGTTTTCCAAGATCCGCCCCACATAACCAAGACATCTAAGTGTTGACTACCCCTCATCCGAACTCCGCAGGGCGGCAGGAGGCATTGACAAAAGATACCGTTGTGTTTACTATCGCCCATTGTCGAGAAAAGTGAGTTGCCAAAAGAATTGTGAGTTGCCAATTTGTCTTATAACGGTTATTGAGCGGGGGGATCCCTTCCATCTGACGCCTGTGACGGTTTCCTTGTCGCGTCTTGTGCCGGTGAAAGTTGGATTTGCGGTCTGTGCAATTTTTCAACCCTTTTGTCCAGGTTTCAGAAGAAAAGGATCAACGGATGATCCCACAACCCCATCAAAAATTGAGCTTCTACCGCTGGATTCTCACTTCACAAGACTTGTAATAATAAGAGAGGGAACAAAGGTGTCAGCCTTTCTTGTCGAAGCACAGCCTGTGATTTCCCTGATCCCCATCGGTATTGCCACATTTTCGCCAACGAACAAACAAAAAGCAGCTCAGCTACATTCATCATCATTGCTCCGCGAAGTAAGTTCATCAGTCCATCATCATCATCATGTTCGCCGACAAGACATCGAATGGCCCCAAGATTGGTCCCAATGGAGATGAAAAAAGCCCTCGTCGTCTCTCGTTTGGTCTCCCAGCACTCCCGTCCTCTTTGACCAACATCCACAAGAAGACCAAGAAGACCAGTCCATCCATGCGCTCCGTCATTCACAATCCGCAGCGAGAAGCTGCCTTTCCCGATCGCCGCTGCAAGAAAGGTGTCGCCAAAACGGGAGGAATTGTGTCCACTCCTCGTCTCTTTGTCAATCCTCCCGTTTGTGCCATGACACGTGGAAAGTCGCAAAGCGTCCGGAATACCATGGGTGTGCCAATGGTCGATGCCGTCACTGCTCTCAGTGGCGGGGGTGGCGGCAAGCCTCGCAAGGAGGACAAGATGAATTACTCGGTCAACAGAGACGTCGCCACCGCCGTCGTCAGCGCTTCCAGCATGATGGCTGCTCCACCCTCCATGACAATGACCAAGGGAGGCATGGCCACGTCTCGCAGAACACTTGGAATTCCCATGGTCTAAACAAGCAAGCAACAAATGTTCTGTTGCGTGCGATGATACAGTATCTCGCCGCCAGAACTTAACTGTGTGTGCTATTGAGTGTTGCATATTATTTGAAACAGCAAAAAGAAAAAGCAGAAGCGTACTAACATTGGTACGGGACTTGCAAACAAAGTAAAATAGGAAGATTGTTGTATCTTTAGTTTCCTTTTGTGAGATCCACTACCGTACTTGTTTTCATGGTTGTGAAGTGGTTGATCCTGGTGCTGTAGCTTGGGCCACCGGTACGGAACCCATCTGAACCTTGAGACACCCATACGATGCCGCTGTGGCAGCAGCAAAACCAACAAAAGTTATTCCGTGCCTCCCACCGGTATCGGTACCAGCACCCTCAGGATGCTGTCCAGAATCCAACCGTCTATACTGGATGCCGTAGGAAAACCAGGGCCAAACCATGGTACTGTATCCCCTTAGAACCGGTACATGTAGTGTACTGAGGCTTGTTGCTACCGGTACGGAGCAAAGCAGCGACAAATGAATGAATGGGGGGGGGGGGGTCGTCCAGCCCAACTTTAAAAGCATCCACGCCAGGGCCCAATCATGTTGGATCAACCAAATCCAACAACTATAGGCAGCGCAAGGACCCACTCCTGGCTCTACCGGTAGGGTAGAGCCCCACCCCTCACTCACCCTTGGCATTAGCTACCTCTTCCCATCTTGGTTTTACTCCTTACTCCCAGAACCACTCTACACTTGTGTAGTAGGCCCAACACAACGATCCACTCCAAGCTCCAACAATGCTGGCCAAACTCGAGGACAACCGATAGCACAAAGGCCTATAGCTTGTGGTGGACACTCACAAAAATGTTCTGACCGTTGTTGACTCTAGGTACCTGGTACCAGAGGCTCCTGACACAAAAAATGCATGCTTTTCTGAACAAAAGTGGATGCCATGGTACATGTACAGTATGCTGCTCGCTCTCATTGAAAGAGCAAGAATAATCACGTCGCTGTGGAATGCAAAACAACTAGAAGGGCGGTTCCAGGAAATTGACAGGAACACAGTAACAAAAACCTTCATGTTAGTTTGTACCGTACTTTTTATGAAATATTATACAGGCCATGTATCCAATCCAATCCAGAACTGGCTGGCTATCTATTTTTGGAAGGAACTATTGCTTCCGAACCCATTTAAGTTGTCGTTCGTGCATGTCCTTGGCTTGTTTGTAGATTTTTTGTTCGTACTGTAGGTAGTTCTGAAACTTGCCGTAGAATGCCTTGTCCTGATGCAACGCATCTAGGACCGTTTGGAGAACCCTGGCTTCTTCTGGATTTACTGTTGGTTGCTGTAATTGCTGTTCATTACTATAATCCAACCCAATGAGATGACGAATCTTTTCGAGCGACTCGTCCATGTATTCTGCCAGCACGATAACGGCATTTTGGGATTTGAGATTGGATAAGGAGATATCCACTCGCTGTTGAATACCGACATCGGCATCTTCCTTTTGAATCCATGAAATTTGCGACGGCGTAATAAGATATCGGGCGTATACTTCATGATAGAATCCATGGTCCAGATCTGTGGTGACCTTTTCCTGAATGGCCGCCACAATGGTACTGGTGTTTAGTAGTATGGCGTGTTGTTGTTGTTTCAATTTGAGTTTGTCAATCATACTACTGACAAACCACGCTTGTGGATGTCGCAAGGAGACAATGTACTGGGCTTCTACACTTTTCTTGTCGAGGGGTATATCTTCGACCACGGCTGGTTGTTGTTGTGCTATCCACTTGTCGGCACATCCCAGTGGGACTTGTCCCGCCAACAAGTCGATGGAATGTTCCAACAATGGGGCGAGTACGACTTTGGTTTTATTGCTCATGTCGCTTCCACCACGGGTCATGGCGGATTGGACGGGACATTTGGTCACCGAATCGCCGCCCTTTAATCTTCGATTGGCCCAGGTACCTGAAATCATGGAAGCCCAGGAGAGCCCCGAGCACATGGCTGTGATGGAAGATTGATTCAGGTGGAGGTAAAATGAGAGAAAAAGTGAGCACACCCATCAGGAGACAATCATTCCTTTCCTTCTTGATGGATTTCCATTTCCAGTTCTAAAACTTACCCACAGAGAGAAATCCAGCATGACATTGCTTGGCATAGTTTTTGAGGAGTTCTTGTACTCGCATGGCATCGGACCGCACAATGTTGACAAAGACGAGTTTCTTGGGTCGTTCTTCGTCGTCACAAGACCACAAGGGATCAAAGCTCCCAAAGGAGTCATCGGGCGGAGTATAGTCCACATCAAAGGGTAAGATCACCGTATCGGAATCGATCAACCAGAATTCATCGCGACGCAACGATTTGCGTTGTTCGTCTCGTCGATTGGAAAAGTCCTCTTGGGGTGGTGCAGAAGTCGAAGAGAATAGCTCGGAATGGGACGACGAATCGCCTTGAAGGTGCAGCGAGATCAAGACGGCACAGACCAATAGAAACAGCAGCCGTACATTGGAAGTCACAGTCGTCATGACGGCAGCACAGTGATGGCTCATGGTCTTTTGCTTCTTCATCTCTCCAAAATTAGATTTGGGAAGAGGTCTCGACGTCTCGACGAAAGTTGTGTTCATCATTTCCGATCCGAATGATTGCGCTCCATTTAACGCTATTGGCTTCCACCCGAATCGGCTGGCGTGTTCGTTAAATAATATTGGAAGATTCAGAAATTCAAAAAATATGCTTTAAGTCTTTAGATTGTATTAAATCTTTGGTCTGTGGCTTGACCGAAAGCAACCACCAGAGATCTTTAAAAGAGGACAAGAGTTCCTGGCTCGGTACCGGTTTTGTCTCGATGTTTCGGTAGATGAGGTTCCAATGGAGACACGCCATGTGATCTTGTGGATGACGGTGGGGTATGTGCTGGTATTGGCGAGTCTCCTACAGTCTTCTGAGAGTCTTGGTATTGGTCGAGACCTGCTCCAATCCGTTGTGGGGACGTTGGATATGATTCAAATCAAGGTCGAGCAAGAAGAAGATGACGAATATAGGGATGATGACAACGACGATGAAGATGAGGAAGAACAGAGTGATCAGCACTAGCATCGATGATAAAAATCGAAGAAGTGTGATTGAGGCGACCCAGAACGTTCTCTCTAATCACCGAAATTCATGGAGGACAGAAAACGCAAGGTAACTAATCTTGAAGGTGCCTGCTTAGCTATGCAGTGCTTGCCAGCACAAACAGCTCATGCCGATGAAGACAAGTTTTGATGACAGTACCTCTGAAGCCCTCCCGGTGGTGAAATCGAATAAGTTGTATTAGAAGAGAAGACAGGCTTGGAGTGTCAGGCAATGGATGGGCATGCTTTATGATATTTTGTACGGCACCGCACCATCTCTAGTGATCCCGTTGATCACACAGGTTCCTCCATCAAACTTGATCAAACTTTCCGCCGGGCAAGCCATTGATCAATACGAAATGGGGCGCCAGAGCTACCAAAAGAGGGGTGGTAAGTTTGCGCCATCCCGAAGCAGACTCCACAAATAGTGGTGCTGTAGTCTAAATTGGACATTGGCTACTATATTAGGTAGAGGGATACATTTGATTACAGTTATTGGGTAGCAACGTGTTAGTCCCTACAAGTAGCTCTACAAGTAGGATTGCATCGTTTCTAATTATGTGCAAGGCAAAAACATGCAATTGAAGAGCAATTTTTCCGCCATCAGTTCGGGCAACTCGCTGATAATCAGCTCAGGCGGCTCTTCGAAAGGCAAATCACCGACTGACGTACCCCCGTGTCATCGATCTGCAAATAATGAAGATCGATAAAGCCGTCAACCTACTGCTGGACTTTTCGCCGCCATATTATCTCCCCTCAAGTCGGGTGAGTGAGTCATTGGTTCTGTCACTGGAATGCTGTCTATTGCTGCCACAAGTCGGACTACAACGACAATAATAAGAAGAGCACCCACCACGATGTTGTCTTGGGCTTGTCAGTTCCCCTTCGCACTGCTTTTGGCGTCCCTTGTGGCCTTGTCCCGACCAACGGCGGCCTTGTGCTCTCATACCATCTACATTCTCCGACATGGCCAATCGGATGCCAATGCCCATGGATTGATCCAGGGATCATCAGATTTCTCTCGTCTCACCGACGTTGGCAAGGAACAAGCCGCCATGGTATCTCGTCAAGCTTTGGATGGACTCCCAGTGGATGCCGTCTACGTGTCACCACTGTCGCGGGCGCAAGACACTCTCAAGGAGGTGCAGAAACGCACTCAAACCATACCAAAGACAACAACGACACTGCACAACTTGAGAGAGATTGACTTTTACGACTGGCAAGAACGACACAAAGATGATCTTGCTGTGGAATTCGAGGATGCGTGGAAGGCATGGAAGAACAGTGATCCCTACAAACTAATAGTCCCTAATGGCAGTCAAGAGCATTATCCCCTACTGGAAATGTGGGAACGGGCAGGCAAGGTATGGCAAGAAATACAACAGCTTGAAAAAGAGAGAAATGATGCTACGGATAAGCATACGACTGTGCTGATTGTGGCACATGGATCCCTAGGACAAGCTCTGTTGGGAACTGCCATGGGATGGGATGCTACTCACTTTCGACGCCACGTTTTTCCCAATTGTGGCGTGTTGGAAATTCAATGGGATCAGTTTTTAGATGCAGCTCCTGCGGAAAGATGGAGGTGGAAGTGGCCTCGGAATTCTGAATGGTCACAAGGGGATACAGCGAGAACAGAATTGTAGACTTCCGCAAGTACGCAACAATGAACTTAGCCATCCAACCTTGGGTGCCGCCAATTCTACCAGCTCGGGGATCAATGGCTGAGAACACTTCCGGACATGCATGCGATTCATCGTTAAACAACCAAAGTCTGCTTTCTCCGAGTTTGACAACCAGTACTCCACAAATTCTCCGTTTCAATTCATATGAGTTGATGCACACACCCAGTACTAGTGTAGAAAATACAGCCTGTGAATGCAAGAATCTTCGACAAGAGTACTAGATGGAGCACATAAGAGGTTGCCAGAAAGCCGCAGGGATTGCACCGCGTTCAGCTCAAATCCATTCTGACGAAGACAAGGCCATCCACCTACAATGCCGTCAAACCACTCTACAAAAATTCACAGAAGCTATCAATGTACGAAGGTCAAACCTATCATTGAATCCCATGCCCCAGGATCGTACAAAGTACCCCATGCCAGTGTTTAGCGGCATGAAAGGGCTTGGCAAGACTCGTATGCTAGAGGAATGGCCATCTGCGTTTGAGGGAGCCGATATTACTGGTCCCTGTGTAGCCGTGATTGTTACCTATGGCAATGGCATTTCAGCTAGCGACGAGGATTAGTCACTACCTATTGCAGCTTCATTTGGCTGGCGCATGATACATCAGTTGTTTGTGAAGAACAATTCTAAAGACGAATCAAGCAAGTGGACAAGTTCTGGCTTTCTTCCCGCCAACGCGGAGGAGATGGATTTGCTCTTGGCCTTTGAGGTTGTTCGGGCTTTGCTGCAAGAGTTTGGCATAGTGCCACCTGATGGCATTTGCTCCTTGTTCGTCGGGGTTGATGAGTACCAGAGCATTCCGCCAGGGAGCCTCTACGACAAGAGATACGACCAAATACACGATGCGTTTAAGAGAGCGCCAGCACAGGTCGATATATCCGACCAGTTGAAGGGGATAATGAAGGTTTCCAATCTTTGGAAGCTCATCGAAAAGTTCGATCAGTGCCGCAACATCTCAAACTTGCATATTTATCCTGCCTTTGCTGGCACAAAATTTGGAGTGTTAAGCATCGCTGGCTCTTCCGTGCCTGAAACATGTCGAAGACCTCTCTCCTTTCTGACTCCTCAAGGCATGGAGGATGCAATTAGGTCAGGGAACAACAAGGAAAAATTGGTCAACGACCAGTTCCGTGAGGAGCTCTTCTTCCTGGGGGGGCTGCCTCGCCCGTCTATTGCGTTTGCCAATGGCGGTTCCTTCGAGGATATCTGGCATCATTATATCGCTTCGGAATGGAATATTGATTCCGAGGAAATGCTTCTGTTGATTGCCTATGCAATCAGCAGAGAGAAAGTGAACCCTGAGGACAAATCGGGCATAAGGGGTCTCAAATGGTATGCCCTCGCCGACCAAGGGCTGCGCCTGCTAGAACAGGAAGGAATGACCTGCTCAGTGACCATTCCCTACTGCATTTTCAGGCTGGCTGCTAAAACAGCAAGACCGACGACGCTTGTTGAAAAGTGCATGGTTCAGAATCTGAACTTCCTCGTTGACCATGTTGACAAATCTCTATATGTTGCAGAAGCGTGGCAGCAATGGGAGTTATTTGGGGCTGCTTTCTTTGCGTTGAGAGTGAACGCGATCATTCTTCTCGACAGCTCTGATGGGTCCGGTATTCCTTTCGCCCGTCTTTGCGAGCATGCAGTAACCCATGGATGTGATCAAATTGTGGATTTGCTCCCGATGGAAGTGATACAGATAGCCGAAACATTATCCACAGAGCTGCCAAAAACGATCACTTCCAAGAAATCTCGTCAGATCCACAACTGGGTCAATGGGGAGGTGAGGAAGGATACCTTGGGAGAAACTGTCACTTACTGTGTACTCAATGGGACCAGTGGTGAAGGTGTTGATATCTTCTGTGCTTTACAGCGTAGCGGGACCAGCGAATTCCTCTTTTACGCCGACGGTTGTCTTGCCTCTCATCCTGCCGCCTCCCCATGTATTGACGTGAACTTGGACAACTGTTCCACTTTGAAATTGCTAACATCTGTGGCAACCATTGTGGATGAGATTATCGAGAACCGCCCTTTTGAAGACTTGCAGGCATTTTCTGACTTCTGCACACAGTCTGGACGTGAACTTTCTGCCGACGACAGCTCTCGGTGCATTGTATTTCGCCGATCTGCTGGATAGGCTAAGTTGGAAAGGCGGTCGTAGGACTGCGGAAAACGTGATGGTGTCAATCTAGAGCTTCACTTAGCGATTGAGGATGAGTTAGTGACTCCTTTGGGAACATGGATCATGACATACTGAAGTCTGACGCCAACATTCTCTTTATCGGCGCTCCCGGTTCGAGAAAGACAACTTTCGTCAGGGAAGTTTCCAGGGTTCTCGCCGAGGCCCAGAATGTCATCATTGTGGACACAAGTAGTGAAATAGCAGGAGCTGGAAACGTCAAGCATGCGTCGGTTGGTAAGGCTCGGCGGATGTTTGTGAGCAGGTTGGAAGATCAGCGCAGAGTCATGATTGTGTCCAGAATCACAGGCCAGATGTGATGATAATCGATGAGATTGGGCGTAAGAGCGAAGCTGACGCCGCCCGAACGGCTGCTAGTCGCGGCGTTCGTCTGATTGCGACTGCTCATGGGTCATTCCGATCACTGCTGGGCAACCCTGATACAAATGGACTTCTGGGTGGCGTAAGCAATGTGGTTTTGGGAGACGAGTACGCGAAATCGAAAATGGAAGACGGTAGCCAGTCCAACTTTAGGGAGTCCCGAGCAGAGCGACTGTCCAACCCTGTGTTTGATGTTGCGGTTGAGCTCGGTGTTGGAGCCAATGCCGAGTGCACAGTTATCATGAACACAGCCGAAGCTGTGGACAGGATTCTGGCGGGCAAACGGTACAAAGTCCAGAGACGCAATTGGGACGGTATCTCCTCGTCAATCCTACTAGTACTTCAGCTTGATCGAGAGTAGATTTGGTCATCCGGAGAACTCTGCTCCTTTAAACATAGTGAAGACAAGAAAGCAAGTTCTCGAAGCCTCCCTAATCTAGTTGGAGAAGTGCAAGGGGCGCCTGCACAGGGTGGGGATACTAGTACCTTGTTCAATGACAGCTAGAGCATCCTTAGGCCTTTACAAAAGGATGGACCTACCAGGTCTTGATGGCAGATGATCGCACGCGGAGATGAAATTCGAAGCCATATGCACATAGGTGCAGTGGATAATTGTGATTCTACGGGGCGAGTCCTAGGTGGCGGTGGGGCAATGGGAGGCTCTGTGTTACCCAACCCTGCCAATTCCCGTGGCGAATAAACGTAAACCAACCAACCGACATGGTACCGGTATGGCTTCGCTCGTTTTTTGTACAGTCGCTCAGCTTACACTGTGGGAATGCCCGTCCCACTTGGCAGAGTAAACGTTGCCTCATGATGGTATCGTCGCTTCAGTGCGTCTTGCAGGCGAGCCAGGACCCGTTGTTGCGCTATTTCAGCATTGGGCACGTTGTAGATTGTATCCAGCCGTCCCTCCATTTGAAGTCCCATTACGAACTTGTCGGAAATTTCACGGGGAAGAAATTGCTTGGCCATGGAGACTGTCAAGTTTGCAAAGAAACCACAATGATAGTTCAGAAACCTGTGGACTTTCATTGGATAGTCTAAAGACAGTTCTGTCCAGAGTTGCCGAAGAGCCTTGAGGTCTATGTTCTTTTTCCAGTCTGCAACGGTGGCGAAAACCAAGGAGTGTTATTATCGCATCTTGGTTGGTAAGACAGCAACGACAAGCAAACTCTGGTAGTAACTTACCAAAGGAGTCAAATTCATGTATGATGATAATTCCACGAAGGATGGCCTCAAAGTCGCAGCAGAGGCAGTGTTGCAGAAAGTAGGCAGCGCGCATCCAAACCTTGCCCTTGACAGGGTCACGTAAGGCGCTTATGTCAAACTTGGCCAGGTCTTCTACAATGGCATAGTTTCCATCCAGATGGTTGAAGGAGAAGCTCAGCAAGAGTCCAGGAAAGAGGTCCATCACGTCCATCAAACACTTGCTGCCAAACTGGTAGGTATCTGAAATATCATAAGCCTCTCGGTAATGCTGCATCTGCACAGCTCTGTTGATGGCACAATCCAAGTTGTCTTCAACGATGGCCCATTGGGCAATCCAATAATCATTGGGGCAATCCACTTCAGGACTCTGCTTCATAGCAGTCTTGATCTCCATCGCCCATTCAGAAACTTCAGTGGAAAGTTCCATACGAGCAGGATGGAACGGGCCCAACACAGGAGGGAGGGTATCTTCATCTTCGATATCTTCTCCCTCTTCTTGTGCTTCTTCGTGGTCATCGTGGCCATCGGCATCATCTTCATCACTACTGTGTCCCTCATCAGAATGGTAGCCTTCAGTTTCCTCATCCAGCCGTGGGCCCACAACAGGGTGTCCAACTTCATTCATTTTAGGATTGTTTCTATCTGGTTTGTTCGATAGCTGTTCGAACCAGATAGATGTTACAGCAGTAGTCTAGCTACGATGTACTAGCTAGTACCGTTCACAGGCGGCAAAAATATTTTGGGTGGATATGTATGTTTTTTTTTAAAGGGTGGAAAGTGGAAAGAGATCAAGAGGATCTAATAACAGTGAATTCCACACGATCCCCTTTTTTCCCCAGCTGGTTGGAAATTGAACATTCTTCACAAGAGCTAGCGGGAAAACAACGAACCTCAAACCTCAAGAACTCAAGCAATTTCGGAAAACTATTAATAGTCTATTGTTAGTAAATAGAATACCGTAGTAGTTTCGGTTCATGCTCTTATCGGTCAAGGTATAATTTTAGCAAAAGGTTATTTCCGACATCCTGAACGCCACGTAAGGATGATGCATCCATGTATCTATCTGTCTGCATCGATTTCCCGGACAGGTAAGGGGCTGTCATGCAGGAGAGGTGGAACTGTGGGTTGTAAACTGGAGCAACTACCGTACTCGAGTAGGACCCCTTGCTCTTGCTACATGTACATGCAGCTTGCTACCGACTACCGACAGCTTGCTAGCTGGATTGTAATGGTCAATGGCTGCACCTACTCCCTGTACAGGTTGCTCCCATCTCCGTAGCTGTACTAGCTAGTATTTCAAAGCCACCCAAAACCCATTCCTGCTTCTTCGGACCCAGTTTTGGATTTTTCGGTAACTACATGCATTTTAATTGTCACACTGAACTTGCTTGGTGTGAGCACTTTGGACCCCAGTGAGGTTCTTATCATGAAAGATGACTTATTGGCTACTGTCTGACCCCACCAGTGCTGCAACTGGCTTACCAGCACGGAGAACCATCTCTACATTGCTTGATTTGGAGCCATCATGTTCGCCAACTTTTTGCTTGCTGGCTGCCACCTCGTGCTTCATCAGTTCTTTGCCTCATTGCTGCCCCATCTGGAATGAAATCATCTGTGGCTTACTCTATGGGGTGTGCTGGAAGGTGCTGCGCCTGCAAGAAAGTTGTATTGACCTAGTTTTGTGTCTATTTTCCGGTGGACATTGATGAAATCTGTGAACCAGTTGCAGTTAGTATGCTCGATGTCACCGGCATCACGTCTGGTGCTGTAATCCCCAGCTATAACGCTATTGGAATGCACTTCTGCCCTGTCTCCCAGACAGCCTCCATTGATGAATGGCTGTGCAATGGAGGATGGTCCTGTGCTTCACCACTTCTTGATTGGTGTTGCTGCCTACATGGGCCGTGAATGGGAGCTCAACTACCGCCTTCTCTGCGCCAGTTGCTGCTGCCACTGCTATCTTCCTCACCTACCCGATTGGACAAGGATCCTTCTCTGGTAGTCCTTGGTGTTTCTTGGACTTTCAAATTCATGTTGGTCTTCCTGGCTGAGCACAACATCCGCCCACATGATGGGTGTTGCTGGTGTCTTTGGAGGATTCTTGTTCTCTGCCATACAGCCATACATGGCTCTTTGGTCACCAGTTCTTTGATCGGCCAGGCCACTGAATCTGAATGCGCCAACTATGGATAAAAGTGTGTTTGGACAAGAAGAAGAGACCTGCAACACTGTTGCTGCCCACTGTTACTTTGGACATCTCATCTTCGAGTATGCAGCTTCAACAACTCCCGTGCTCTCCACTTCTTCTTGGCTGGCTGCATGGCCTGTCATTGGTGAGTGGTGGACATTGATTGTAAAAACTGGATTGAGTTTCTCTATGGCTCACATTCCTAGTTCCGCTTTGATACAGGAATCTGGATGACTGCTATGGAAGTTTCCACCATGGCTTTCAATTTGAATGGATTCAGCTTTAGCCAACTTGTTCTGGACAGTGATGGACGTGCCATCAACACCTGGGCTGACATTGGTATGAAAGTCACGCGCCATGAGTGCAATGCCCACAACTTCCCCTTGGACTTGGCCTTCGGAGAAGTCTGATCCTGTCGCCCCCTCCATCACAGCCTTCGAGATTGTTGCTTTGTTGCTTTGAACTGCCCATATTGTCAAAAAGCAACATGACGCGGATGCATCAGCTGCACAGTATGAACCAGTGTTTATACTGTGTACAAACAATGCCCGGCATGATGGTGCATCTGTGATCTCTAAGGGTGACCCTGGAATCATGACCACTCCTACCGTACCGTGAGTATTACGTGAAAGAAAATGCGAAATGAAAGAGAACCAACTCTCGTATACGTATGGAAGGGATGTGTCCTTATTCTGGGAGAGCGGAGCGTGGGATAAGACAATGCCGGTATACTACCAATACACACCCCAATGTCGGCATGAAGCTCCTAACTTGGCGTGATGCCTCGACTTCCTGGGCGTGGGCGAGCCACGCCGCAAAGGATGCTCTGAAACCAAAATGTGGACGCCTCTATCGATAGGCGGGACCTTTCAGACCGTGCCGTATGGATGTCCTCCAACAGCAACACTGTTCAGGAGAAACAAGCAAAAAGACGACGTACACGAATCGAATCGGGCGTCGTCGAAACAAGGGCACGATTTGCCTTCGGAGACGCCAAAAGCAGAACTACCCCAAGGGCGGGCCCAGAAAGTGGGATGCTTCTAGTATTACACTTTTTACGATTTTTAACTTCTAAAAATGAGGGAAGGAGGAAGGAAGGAAGGAGAGCCGCCGCCGCAGAGAGAAAAGCAAACCACAGCTCGGCGTGACAAATGCGCCAACATTCCGTCTGTTCCAGTGTACGCGTCTGTCACTGCGACGGCCGAACTGTGGCTATTGTTGTGTTTGTGTTTGTCGAATTGTCTTTTGTTTTTGCTTTAGTATATTCAAAATTCCTCCCATCGCAATCGTTTGCGGCAACTGGGGCACTTGCGTCCACTTTGTTGTACCCACTGATAGAGACAGGGTAAATGAAAGTATGTATTGTTTTCTCCGCATCCACAGAGCGTGGGCATGCGTGGATTGGTGGGATCGAATCCTTCCATGCAAATGACACATTCGTCATGCTCGTGTTGATAGTCATCGCCCAATTGGGCCGCCATGGCCTTGGCCATTTGCAGTTGTAATTCCGATCCGGGCAATACCACTTGTTCCGTGGCAATGGTGGGGACTTCTTTGGATGAGTCGAAGGAAGACGCTTGTGTCAAGATGGGAATGTATTCTTCATTATTTGCAGTTGCTGGTTCGGTTGTTGTAGAAGTAGTCGTCGTTTCGATGGCGTTGGACGACGTCGACAAACTCAACTTTTCTTGGACACTTCGCCAAAACTCGCGAATGCCGGACATTCTAGTAGAAGCAGCGGTTGTTGTCGTGGTAGTACTAGTAGCAGTAGTCTCGCAGCAATCTTCATGCTGTGGCGCTTCGTCGACTCGCGCGTAGTCGTTGTCTCCTTGCGGAAGAAATCGAGCGATGCGGTTCGTCTGCGGCGGATGGGATGTCTCGTCTTCTTGAGAATCTTCTTCGGGAGCGTCGTCAAAGCAAACCTGCAGTAGGCAGTGAAGTAACTTGGGAGCCATTCTTATTGTTTTGTTGTTTGTGTTGTGTTGTGATGTAGAATTCGGTTTCGTTGATTGATGCGTAATAGTGGTTGTGTCGTGATTTAATTTATGGAAAGAACCAGAACAATCCATCGAGGCATCGCACACCAAATGCCAAAGAACAACCGCATGTGCAATGTCAGCAGAACCGTTTGTAGGGGCGTTCAAGCGTTCGAGCTACGAAGCATCTAATCGTGCTCTGACCTGACTTGACTGGTCTTGTTAACAGCTTTTGCAGACGTCAACTTAGTGACTGGATTGAATCAATAGCATGATTCACTGGGAAACTTCAACACCGCCGAAACCTTGGAACATTTCTTCTTCAGTTTTCTTGTTGTTGTTGTTGTCTGGTTGTCCTTGAGGGTACTAACTGTTGGATAGACCAAAGATGACAGAAACAAGATACTTTGCTGTGGGTGATCATATCTTTCGGTGGTGTTCCTACTTGGGAGTGCCATTTGCCTATCAACAACATGCCATTGTTGTGGCGGGTCGGAATCAGAATGATAATCCAGGCAACAACAATAGTCATGATAGCAACAGTGATGCGAATGGTAATGAAGACGAAGAAGATGGGACCATTGTCATTATGAATTTCGATCATGAGCAAGAGAAAGAAGAAGATTTGGAATCGAGTAAAGCCTCTTCGGTCTCCACGGCCACCAGTACAACACCGACAAGTACTTCCAATAATGATACCGACATTGATGACAATGACAAAGAGGCAACGGAACAAGACACTACAAGTACAAGTACTAGTACAAGTACCACCCAACCACCACCTCCTTGCTGCAAGATCACTCAGCAATGGCTCACGGAAAAGGAAGCCAAAGCTCAATGGGAGCACGTACAATATTCCCAAAAGTGGCAAACACGGTTGATGCTACGAGCTGGTACTTGTTCTCCCGCAGTGGCCGATCCAGTACATGTCATTCTCTGTCGCCTTCAATTCCTCTTGCACGAAAACAACAACAATATACTACAAAATCTACCCTACCATACCCACAAATCCAATGGCGAATGTTTGGCCGTATGGTGCACCACCGGTGTTTATCAATCGGCACAAGGAATTGCCAAAATGGGAGAAGCCGGAATGCACGTGGGATCCTTTAGTTTGGTCGGAGGCATTGCCGCACAGCTGGCCGTGTCGGCGGTTGTGCCCGTCGTACTGCCTTTTATTGCCGCCTTGGATGTGGGACAAGCCGTCTATTCCGCCAAGGAAGTACACACCACGCGACAAGAATGGCAAGAGCGGACCATTGAATGGAATCAACTCTTTGAACAGTATATTATTGTACAACAACAATCCATACGACAACAAGAACAGCAACAAGAACAGCAAGAAATAGAACCGCAGGAAGAATGATTCAATCATAGCGAGGCAGGAAGAATTGTTGTGATATGATGCTTCAAGCTTATTACATGCCCTCAACAAATATTGGTGTTGTGGAAACGTCCATGAAATCGACATGGCATCCAAGTCATATCCATTGTTGCTTTCAATGCCAACATACTATTGAATGGTCACCCGCTGGGGTGATTTTGGCCAACCCACTTACTTGCAAAGTACGAACGCAAACGTGCGATGCAAGGTAGCCACATCAACAGAACAGACCGCAGCATCTCTAGAAAAACCTGAATGTTGCTTCACTTACTTGTAGCCCTTCGACCCCCGGTTCGTGCTGGTCTCCAGTTTGTCGCTCATGATCCCACGGACCGCGTTTGTAGAAGAAACTGAAGGTTCACTCTGCTTACTGTACCGGTACGGGTAGATTCCAACCCCGTCTCAAGCTTGTCATACTACCGGTACGAAACTGTATCAATACCGTACCCCGCTGCCCCCTACCGAAGGTACTCTCAGGAAGAGGTGCAGCTCTCTATACATACCGGTGTCGGTACCGTACGGTTGCTTGCTGCACCACCACAGACCACACCGCGCCCCCGTGCATGCAACCCGGGGGATCAGCTTTTTGAGTGATGCGTGGGTAGGTCAGCATAGTAGTCAACTTCACTGGAGTGCCAAATCTCGGTCTAAATCAATTATCAACCAGCAAGCAAGAAAGCCAGGGCTCAACTCCCGTACCGTTCGTTACTAGCTTTATTCACTTCTCTATTTCTTTATATTGTGTAATTCTAAAGGAACAACGTCACTCCTTTCAGTTCTGAAATCCTTGTGCCAACAGGCCCACCAAGTCCTGAATCATCATCCCTCCATCACCCCCAAGAATTGGAGTGAAGGCACCAAAGATAATTGAAAAGGCAAATACCTCGTAAAATCTGGCCATTTTGTCTGTGGACACCACCTTGTACTTTACCAATGTTGCCCCAAAAATTGCTAGGTTGTTGACCAAACAAGTATTCAGGAAAATATTGCAGTAAGATTGCTGTGGTCCTCAGGGTGAGATGTCGCAAATTGTACAATTTGCTCTAATCCCACAGACCCACCCAGATGCAGTTGCTCAAGACCAATGAAAGTGATGGGTAGAGTGTAGGAGAATGCTGCAATTGCAGCATTTTTCAGATGATTATCATACCAAATGCCTGACTTTTGCCTTTCAGCTTCACTAGCACCACCTGAAACGAAGGATTGTGAAGTTTGCCAGATCGCAATGGCCATGTTCACTGCAGCCAAAGCCATGAAGGGAGTGCTGTCAATTGAAACCTAAGCATCCTCCCCTTGTATAAATTCTGTCAAACACGAAAGGACCAACAAGAGATTTTGGACTGGTACAGGCCAGATCGTTGCATTTCGTGCTGCTTCTTTCTTGTTCTTCCAGTCAAGCCTTGGAAGGCCCATGACTGCAACCATCACATGCATAACACCCAAGCCCAGAATTTGCTCCTGGGAGACAGGAGCATCAAATCCATTGGTCAGGAGATAAACGAAATGATGTGACCCAAGCAGCAGGGAGCCCAAGCCAAAAGCACTGTGTAGGCCTTGTTGGATGCTAGCGCTTCCAGCTCTTCCAAGCTGCTTCACACGCTTGTGTGGGATGTTTTTCACTGCTTTTTGGGGGGTGGAATGCTGCGGCCGCTCAAGAACGTCGATGATGGTGTCTCCATGCTCCATGACATTGGTTGATGATGCAGCTGAGTGTGGCGTGAACAGAAGCTCTTCAGGGACATGCTCATCAAATGCATCGAAAACACTGTTGGTGGCATCGATCCGTGATGCAAAGAGCACAGGACTTTGCCTGTACACTGTGTAGGGGGATAAGTTGGTGCTTGTTGCCTGCACGTGGCTGGTGAAGCCACTGACTGAAGTGCACAAACAAATTGAAAGAACCAGTTTCATTTTCTTGGTTGTTGTAGATAGGGATGCTGTAGTTGGTTTTGTAGGTGTTTTTGTAACACTGAAGCTTTTGATTATGATATGTTCTACTAGCTAGGATGCGAGTGTGGAATCGATGTCTTTACCATTTTGCCATGCAGTATGTACAAGTACTAGCTAGTAGTCTCTCTAGCTAGAGTAGCAAGGCAACACACAGTACCAGGTAGATTCTACAGGTTTTCCTTCTTGCTCCGTGGCTGCGTGGGGCGTGTGTTATTTAGGGTTTGGGGAGCCCTGCATAAGAGGTACTACAGATAGATGTAGCACTTGCACTTACTTGTACTTGAGCAATTGGGTATGGATACCGCATACATACCAAAGAAACATAAAAAAGAAACAAAACTTTGTCAGGACTTAGAGGACATTCAAAGGATTCTAAATCCTTTTTTGTTCTCCCTTGTAAATCAGGTATCCATGGAGAAATTAAATGTTCTTCATACCGTTACCTGGTAAGCAGCAAAAATTGGAGTCACGGGCATACGGGATCCATCCCCAATCACCTCTTATGCTGGGCCACCCAAAGGAATTAATTAACTAAAATAGGATCTCCCAAGAATTGCATGGACGACGAATCGTGCGTACTGTTCCGGCTTGACGCAAAATTGTGGTTGGCGAATAGACATAGGATCTTCAAAAGCTGCTTGGATCCGGATAGTTTTAGCACCGGTTGCCTAATTGGAACCTTGGACTTGGTTCGGAAGGAGAGGTTGGGATGTGCTTCCCAAACGAGACCTGAGGTCTCGTTTTCAGAATTACCTACAATTGCGCTTCTTAGATGTTATTACCCCCAGATCAACACACCCTTGCACTACTGCTGCAGTGTGCGTTGATTTTCAGCTCGCAGGTTTTCCTGCTTTTCGTCGTCGATCGTTTGTTTCGAGAGGATCGTTTGAACATTGTGTTGTTGCTTTATATCGTTTTGGTTGTTGTATCAGCGCTTTATCCAGCTATCAACTGTTACTCTTGTACCCCCTGCAGGCATCCGCTTGTAGATCTGGGCTTCGCTCGAGAAGCACCCTTGGTTGTCAGGCATTCATAACTCTGGACTGATCTGATTGTGTTGTGGGGCGACGTTGGAGGTGTGGTCGTTTGTAGGGTCTTCTTCTGCTGCATCCACCCTTGGAAGTTGCCGATGGTGGCTTTCATCCTTGGAGATGGCGCAGGAGAAGGACCGGAGTGAGGAATCACCCGCAACTCCTCCGTGAGTTGGCGGCGGTCCCAGCTTGGACCCAATCGGCTCAATTGCCTCAGCATGGGGAGTGCCTTGTTGCCTTATCAATCCCTACCGACCGGAGCTAAGACCTTACGATGGCATGGCTTACATCGCCATTGCCAAAGGAATAATTAATTATTTCTGTTGATAAAGATGGTAAAGGTTTGAACTAATTAAATTAATGAGCACTGGCTGTAGTGAACCCAATCTGGGGATAGGTTATTACCCCCAGATCAACAGTATTTGTCCCTTGAGCTCCCTTGCTTTTGGCTCAACCCCAGCCCTAGCTGGGGACGTAAGTGATTAAAGTTCGGGTCTTGACGGTGCAATCACAAAATTGTGATGAGCCCTAGCCCTAGTAGCACCTTTAGATGGGGGCCAGAATATAAGCTTTTTAACTCTTGTGCCTTGTGCTGCTTTCAGTGCCACAAGCATGAAATAAAGCTTTAATAAAACAACTATTAGGACATTTGGCTTTTGCACAGTGCAACTGTGCGTGTCAACGGCTCTAGCTACTAGCTAGCTAGTAGGTGAAATTGCTACATGTACTTTGGGCCATGGGATTGTTGAAAGGCAGTTGTTACCGAGTGTCCCTTGGTATTAACTAACCATTCCAGGTTCCATTTGTTGACTTGGATTTCTAAAGATGGGCCAACGCAAAAAGATTATTGCTGAATGGGGATCCGCCTTGAGATAGTTGTGCAGAGTTCAGATGAGTCGAGTCCCTACTAGATCTAGACCCCTATAACTTGTAGCACTCTTGTAGCTGCTTGGATTTCAACCGGCCCTCTCAAGCTGTCCTACAAGCAACGCTACCGGTACTGGTACCTACCACTGCTGTATCAACACCCCCGGAGCCCCCACCGGGTACTATTAATAGTACGTATTAATACATTGAATGGTACGGTACTGTAGCGGTGCGATACGCCCAGGAAGAGGTGCAGCCTTACTGCACCTCACGGTGCTCCTGAACTCAACTCACTTACTCATACGATAGTCGTGAAGGGGGACCTCCTTTCCGAGTGCGGCTTGGTTTTTGCTCGGGCGTGGTGAGGATGAGGGGTTTTTTCAGCTAGCTAGAACATTCGCCAACTTGCTTCACTGGAGTGCTGCTCCTCAGCAGAACAGCATGATGGAATGGAATGGAATTGAAACCTGCTCCAGCCGCAAGAAACAGAGAGTTGATGGCTTGTTGTCAACCAGCAAGCAAGAAGACATGGTCTCGACTGTCACTCGACTGAGTCACTCGACTCCCGTACCGTAAAGACAAAGAACAAAGAACTGCCTGGACAATAATGGAAGACGTCGAATCGTGCATACAGGTTCGGTTTGAATCGCGGCACCGCAAAAATTGTCGATTGGCGATTGGGTTTGCATGTGCAAGACACCTGGCGTCATTGGCACATCAGCACCACAAATACAGTAATTTCTGCATCTGGTATGACAGGCACTACTTGCAAAAAAGACTGCTCATAAAACAACCAACACATCACAACACATCACAACACAAGAGCAGCGCTCACGTCACAAACAACAAGCACTTCCACAAACACAGACAGAAAGAGAAAGAAAAGGAAGTACAAGGAGCAGCTATCAGTATGAGTCCAGTAGGAAATCAGAAGAAGAATGGTGACGACAACAACAACAATACTATTGAACCAGTGGTGATTATCGGCGCCGGCTGGGCGGGATTGAGCGCCGCCAAGGACTTACTTATTAACCAAGGCATCCAAGCCAAAATTCTGGAAGGTCGTCCAGTGATGGGAGGTCGTTGTCGTACGGGTGTTGCGGAGGATGGAGTGACGGCCATTGAATATGGTCCGCAATGGGTTCACGGCGTCCAGGCCAAGAATCCCATTTACCAGGCGGCACTGGATGCCGGTGTGGAAATGGCCCGTTCGGATTACAACAGTCAAATCATTCTGCAAGATCATGTCGACAAACCCACGACGGAAGCGTCGGAAGAACGCATGAAATGGATGGAAGATTATTTGATGGAAGGCAAGGGCGGCTTTTGGGCCTATCAAGAACGACGACAGGATAAAGACAATAAGGACTGTTCCTTACGACAAGCCGCAGAAGACTTTTTGGATAAGATTGATGCTACAGACGAACAACGACTCTGGATGTGGTACTTGCTGGATTGTAACACGGCCCAAGAATACGCCGCGTCGCTGGAAGACTTGTCCATGTTCTGGTGGGATTCCGATGAAGAGTAAGTATTCTCTCCTTCTTTGTCAAGGGTTGGTATTGTGCTGTGTGTAATTGTGTGCTGATTTGATACATTGTTTATTTGTTATTAGAATGAAAGGAGGAGATGTCTACCTCACACAAGACATTCATGGCGGATACAAGGCGGTCCTGGAACATTTCACCAAAGACTTTTCCCAAAATATTCAATACAACAGCAAAGTCTCCGCCATTGACTACAGTCACCAGGACCGGGTCGTCGTCACATACACACAGGACGATGGCGCTGTCCAAACCATCACTGCTAAAAAAGTCATTGTCACGGTCCCACTGGGCGTCCTTCAAAAGAATATCATTCAATTCACACCCGATTTGCCACACGACAAACAACGTGCCATTACGCGAATGGGAAATGGAGTCCTCAACAAGTGCATCTTTATTTGGGAGGATTCGGATGCCGACAACTTGCCATGGCCGGCCGATAAGGAATGGATCGAACGCATGGTTACTGGGAAAGACCCCAAACAGCCGCAAGGATTGTGGACGGAATTTGTCAATTATCAACCCATCAATGGACGACCCGTCTTGTGTGGATTCACCGTAGGACGGATTGCCGAACAAGTGGAGGAATTGTCGGATCAGGAAATTCGAGATTCTGCGTTTGACGCATTGAAAAAGATGTTTTGCGACACGGAAATTCCGGAACCCAAACAAGTGATTATCACTCGATGGGGCGACGATGAATTCACGTATGGATCCTATTCCTTCAATGCCGTGGGTGGAAATCAGTCCGATCACTCTCGCATTGCCGAGGGAGTCAACAAAAAGCTCTACTTTGCCGGGGAACATTGTCATTTACAGTATTTTGGAACCTGCCAAGGAGCCTACATGTCGGGAACCAATGCCGTCAAACAACTGGTTCGAGATGCCAACAAGGGAGGAGCGAAGAAGGGCAAGAAAAAGAACAACAACAAGAACAAAAAGGGGTTGCTCCAAGGTCTGTCTGCATAAACAAACAGTATATGTGAACAGGCTTCTTTCCTTGCTTTCGTGGCTCCTCACAGGCTCTTCTCGCTCCGGCAGAACGGCTTGGTGGTTGTTGCCAAGGACTCGTGACCTACCTGCGTGGCGCTTGGCGTGGTTGTAAATGAACTCTAGAACTGAGTAATGCTGAGTGATTCGAGCAGGTGTGGATGCTGGTTAGAAAGGAAAACCCACGCACTCTTAGACAAAAGAATTAATTGCATGAATACATGACATAAAAAAGACAAAAAGATCCTTCTATGGAGTATTGTTGCCGAAGCAACGTCGCTGTTGCACGAAAGCGCCCAGTAAGATACCGCTATAGGGGGCGGGCTCCATGATATCATCCTTGCGCCGTGTGGAAAAGTGGACTGGCTACATGATGCTTTTGCTCAAGGGTGGCAAGACCATTTTATACGGAGACGAGGTCTCTAGTCATCACTTCCCCCTTCATCTTGTCACCCAAATGAAGCCTCCTGCGCGTATCGACCAAGTCCACTTAATTTCCCAAACTTGCTCTGTACATGGGAAACGGCAAGAGGGGGCCCCAAATTGCGCTTGTTAGAATGTGCAGCCACAGCTCGCATCCGAACACAGATCACACATTCCCTCACAGACCCTTGCATACTGTAGTCATCTCACTGTTCCCTTGTTCCATACCAACACCATTGACAACATGTAATGGTACTGTGTTAGTGGCTTTGGTTGCCAAAGAACTGCCAAAAGTCTGTCCTTCCTAACTCGCCCCCCTTACTACTCTTACGTTTCTCATCAAGCTAACGAGCGAAGAGGGCGCTCCGTGATGTCTTGCATCTACAATATGGTAGCTACGGCCCTGAAGAGTAAGCTAGCTGCAACTTTATGGCCCCTGAACCCATCCACGCCTCGCTCTGGGCTCTCTCTCTCTCCATTTTGATGACTCAGACGGTGCCCCTACCGGTACCGTAGAGGCAAGATGCAATGAAAGGTTGACATTGTGCCCATTGGATTTTTAACTAGCTAGACTAGAATAATTCTAAAAGCGCCATCACCCAACTTGCTTGGAAAGTTCCAGCATCCTGACAATTCAACCCACCATGGCGGCCGGTACCAAGTTGGAAAGCTTGCTTGCTTCCTTGCTGCCGTGCGTCGTCTTCGCTAGCTAGATAGTAGGAACAAAGGTTTCCTCTTGCAAGCAACTGTCCATGTCCACATAACCAGGCATACCCTGGATGCGCTGCAACCAAGTCTGGACATGAGGGAATCTCGTCAATTCAAATTCGCCTTCCGCCGCAACGTGAGTGTAGGCATACAAGGCAATATCCGCCACGGAGAAATCAGGACCCGTCAAAAAGGGTGTGGTAGCCAATTGCCGTTCCATGACACCCAGCGCGTGGTGTCCCTTGTCCAAGAGCTGTTTCATTTTGGCGTCATCACAAGGACGTTGGAAAATAACATTGGCCCGTCGTACGGCAATGGATGGTTCGTGCGAGTACTGTTCAAAGAACATCCACTCAAAGACCTTGGCGCGTTGAAAGGGGTCGTCTGTGGGTGGAAGAAACGACTTTTGTGTTTCGGCCAAGTACAACAGCATGGCACCGGATTCGGCCAAGAATCTTCCATCCTCCAATTCCAAGAGAGGGACTTGACCATTGGGATTCTTGTCCATAAAGGCTGGACTCTTGGTGGATCCGTCTAGAATGGAGGTGGTGACAATCTGGTGGGGTACCTTGAGAAGTCGCAACATCCAGGCTACCTTGTAGCAGTTTCCAGAACGAGGCATGGCGTAGAGTTTCATCATGGTGTTTGCGTTGTGTTGGAAAGAACAAGATATCTTACTAGTCTAGTACAACAAATAATGGAGTGAGAGACGGTGTTGATTGTTGACCTTTGGAAGAAGCAACAAGACGAAACAAACAAAATAATGAGGGAGGCGAAGATCCAAACCAAACCACGCAGATCTTCTGGCTTCCTCTTAAGGTGTCCGTCTGACCTTGAGACGTGCTTCCTCAAAAGAGATCTTTTGTCGCGAACCTGCGAACCACCAACTAACAGCAACCCTCACCCCCCCTGTCCAACACAACTAGTCCAACACAGCCACCCATCCAAGCCTACTACTAGCTAGCGATTGTACTGTACCCCCTGCAAGCAACATGTCTGGTGTCAAGCGTCAACGAGAAGAAGAAGAAGACGAAGAGGACGACGAGAGTTTTCCGTGTCCATCCTGTGGCGAACAAGTGGACGACAGTGCGGGTGGATCCTGTGGCGCTTGTGGCATTCTGTATTGCGACGAATGTTTATTGGCTCAATGCGACGTTTGCAAAGAAAAAATTTGCGAAAAGTGTCTGGCATATCCGGGCTGCAAAGCGTGCGAAGATGAGATTACGCTGTGCACCGAGTGCGTCGAGGACCACGTACAAACATGCTCTCGCAAAAGTCGCGCCCGACGAAGTGTCACTACCGAAGAAACCGCCATACAGCAGTATCAAGATCAAATCCAACAACTCACGAGCTCCATTGCATCGCAGCAGGCGCAACTCAAGGAAGCAGAGGAGAATTTGAAATTGGCCAAAAAGAGAAAAACAGATTCCGAAAGTCTTCTCAAAAAGGCATGAAGCAACGAGGAAATTGTTAGTGGGGAGGAGGGGGAAGAGTGTTCCAGTTGAGGAATTATTTGTTCCAATTCAAAACGATGCTATTTACGTGTGTCAGTAAGGTGGATACTCAACAAGGGTTTCACAAAGAAAATTAAGGGGGAAACAGCGACAAGACTTGTCGGGCTGTCTCATGGAACCTGGTTCATTTCTTTTTGCACACAACAAACTTTGGTTTCTTGCTGGATTTGGTTGCCAAATTGGCAAAAGTCGTGAATATGGCGGTGCGAGGTTGCACGTACGGTAACAGTCCGCGAGAGGTGGTTTGCATTCGCATTGGTTCTTCTTCTTCTTGGGTTTGTTTGTGTGGCGGTCGACACCTTTGAGCCGACGAATTTCTGCCGAAATGACTAGCTAGTGCGGTACTAGTAGGCAAACTCATGTCGATGTCCCCACAGCCACAAATCTGGTGACTGCTGGGACCATATTGCTGGTCCTTGGGGTTTAACGGCGATGTCGGCTCAACAGGAACACCAGTCCAATGCCACAAATAGTAGTGGTCGCGGCACATATTGGTACGGCAGCCTTGGCTCTGGAGAACCCAAAACACGTTTCGAGTAGGAGTCATTGAAATAGTTTCCATCTATTGCATATTGTTACTTGTTGCTATCAAATATGTAAGTTCAGGATTTACGTTTTCCTCGAATGCAGCTTCTGAAGAATGAGTTGGTCTCTCATCTCGTGACGATTTTATCAATTAGTCCATGCACAATAAAGCGTTGCTTGTACTGTCGCCATGAGCTGGCTGGCCGGCATGTCTAGCTACGAGAGAGGAACGTTGGGGTCGTCTTGAACGTCTTGAATGCCCCACTGAGGTTGAACACCTTGCCCTCCAAACCAGGAGTCTGCTGGAGAATGCGGCAGGCATAGTACGCTCGTTGCCCGGAGGCACACGACACCACAATCTTCTTGTCGGTAGGCACCTCGCCCAGGCGATCACGCAATTCAGGAAGCGGGATCTGAAGGGCACCGTTGACCAACTCACCGGCGGTAACTTCGCCCGGGTTGCGAACATCCAGGATAACCGTGTCGGGATCGTTCTGTGCATCCTCAAGTTGGTCCCATTGGATCTGCTTTACAAATCCGTCCATGATGTTCTGTGCTGCCATACCGGCAATATTAACTGGGTCTTTGGCCGATCCAACGGGTGGAGCATAACAGAGTTCCAGCTCTGCCAAATCTTCTGCCGTCAAGCCGCCTTGCATGGCGGTGGAAATCACATCAATGCGTTTCTCTACGCCATCTTCCCCGACAGCCTGGGCTCCGTAGATCTTTCCGTCCTCTGGATTGAAGAGCACCTTCAAGTTGATACTCTTGGCTCCAGGATAGTATCCAGCATGGCTTCCCGGGTGGACATGAACCACATTGTACGGTAGTCTCTGGGCCCGAAGCATTTTCTCGTTCATTCCAACAGCAGCAGCTATCAAGTCAAAGGAGCGCACAACTGCGGCCGCGTAAGTTCCCTTGAACTTGCGGTTCTTTCCATAGATGTTGTCGGCTGCCATGCGACCCTGACGGTTGGCTGGACCAGCGAGCGGCACAGCCCACTGGCCTCCAACAATGGGGTTCTTCACCTCCACCGCGTCTCCAACAGCCCAGACATGCTCAGTATTCGTCTTGAGGTATTCATCGACAATGA